GATGGTAGAAGGGGCCATAAACCAAGGAATGAGGGCAGTCTGTAGACATAAGAAAAGAGTCTTCTGTAGAGCCCCTGGAAAGGAACATATCCTTGCCAGCACCCTGGTTTGATTCCACTTTTTACTTCTGATGTCCAGAACTATAAGAATAAATTTGTATGTTCAGCTGCTAAGTGTATAGCATTTTATTATAGTGGCAATATGAAAGTAATTCAATCTCCATTTAGTTTTTACTGGGATTTTTGTTATCTCAATATGACTAATTTTATTTTTAATTCTAGTACCCTAAGAAAGCACATTAAGAATACAAATCATAAATATTCTATAATTTAATCTTTCTTTTTTCGCCTCTCTTCTTCTTCCATAAGTCTGCTATAGTGGGAGGTGCTGGGTATCCAACCCAGGTACACGTGCATCTGAGGCAAGCATTCTACTGCTTAGCTATATCCCCAGACAACATTTTAATTCCTAGTACATTTTTCTGTTCCTTGAGTATTCAGTTGGTAATTTTCATGAAATGCAGAGTTCTTACCCAGAATTCTCTTTGTATAGAATTTTAAATCTAAAATAGACTTTATATATCACTGAGTCTGTTTTCCTCATTTCACAGAAGATAAAACTGAGTTTCAAAAAATAATGTTTTATCACTATAATATAGTCTAGTATTTATGGTGTCAGGACTCAGTTTCTTTCTTTCTTACTTTTTTCTTGTACCAGGGATTGAAGGAGCACTTAACCACTGAACCACATCCCCAGCCCTTTTTTTATATTTTATCTGGAGGTAGGGTCTCATTGAGTTACTTAGGACCTTGATAAGTTGTTGAGGCTGGCTTTGAACTTGTGATCCTCCTGCCACAGCCTCCYAAGCCTCTGGGATTACAGGCATGCACCACCGTACCCAGCTCAGCACTCAGTTTATGAGAGAACAAGAATGGGTGGAACTGAGTCACATGTTGTCTGCTGATTTAGAACCTGACATCCCATTGGGGAAAATCATCAGTTTTAAATATCTTAGCATATTATGGCTCAAAATGATATATTTTTTTTACTTTTTACTTCATTATCCTTAACTGTATAATTTTAAATAAATAGAAAAAAAACCATAGTTTTTATGTTTGGAAAAGGTTAAGAAATTGCACATATCCCTTCTTGATTTAGTAATTGGTTTTCAGAAATTGGAATGCTGTGAAAATCACATCAGCTTGATATTTGACTTAAAAAAACTCTTTGTCCAGAGAAAGTACATGCTTATAGGGGCTAATAGAAAAAAATAGTTGTACATTTATATTTATACTTTCCGTATATTCTTTGAAGAAAGAAAACTTGGAAATTATGAACATTTTTGTAGTTGTATTTAATGTATTAATGTAGCTAACATTTCTTTAGCATCAAATCCATCTGACAGTTGCTATTATACAACAATGAAACAGTATTTGTATATTTAATCTTCACTTGAATAGGATTTCTAACCCAGTGGAGGAGGATCAACTGAGAAATCAGTGGAATATAAATTAGAAAATATTTGGCTATAAAGGAGAAACAAAATCAAAACTCAAAGGAGAACTTGAGATTGTGGGGGACCTTTGTTTTTTAAGAGAAGGCACAGCCTTAATCTGGAATGTTCTAGTAAAGAGTAATAATGGAGGGAGGAGAAAGGGAAGAAAAAGAGAGGGATGATAATGGGAAAGAAACTGAAGACAAAAGAGAAAGGAAGTAATTGATAGAACAGACTCTTGAAATGGCAGGAAGCAATGAGATTAGAGCACGTGGGTGGCAAAAGGCACATGTTCTCTATTGTCCCGGAAGAGGGGTGAAAGAATTGTGTATTAAATGGGTAATTTTTTTGTGGGGGGGGAAGTGTTCCAATCTGATAGTTTCAATTTACCTCTGGAAACTGTTGATGAAAAGAGGGAGAGGGACTCAAAAGTTTGAGAATATTAGGTAGTTTAGTGATTGTGCAGAATATATAGAGTAATAATTAGGGGGAAACCATATCGTCACATGGCATAGATTACCAGTTGAGGAGAGACGTGGTAAACTTGTGCTGGCATCAACCTCTAAATGTGTGAATTTTCTCCAGGCTCTCTCAGAAGCCTTAGTACCTGTGGAAGTTACAACAAACTTGGATTTGTCCAAGACTGGTGTTATTCAAATATATTGTTTTGGAAGCACAGTGTGACAAAGAAGTTATAAAACCCTCTGTTCCCTTTTCTAATAGTTCCAAAATTCATGAAGCTCTAAAATTAAAGCTTTATTGTCACGAGCCATCCATGGGTTGCATGTGGGTCACTGTGCATGGAAGCCTAGTGGATAGAAATATCTGGTGTCTCTGGGATGACCAGTGGACATTTTCTCTGGTCAATTGCCCAGAGACAGTGTGAATTTTTATCCCCCTCTGCCATGGCCCACACAGCACCTGAAGTAGGTGTGACCTGCCAAGATGTTGATCAACCTGATGACTGCAAGACATCATGAAGTAAGACTTCACCCTTGAAACCTTATTCCTGCCTTTGATTTACCCCCTTAAATAAACCACCAGAGCCATCTTTTCTTTGTCTAGTTCTAGCACCCATGTGGACTAGATCTATCAGGGGCTTTGCTTTTGTAAATATATTTCTGAATATTTGTGTTTTGTTATTCATTAATTATTTCAGACTTTAAGTTTTAGTTTTAATTGCCCAATGAGACGTTGGTTATCACCCCCATTAGTTTATGATAACTCATTTGGTAGCAAAACTCTGAAATAATTTACCTGAGGCTATTTATAGCCTTCACTTATCAAATTTAATATATATTCATATGTTTTGCCTCACAAATCAATATGTGTGATTATGGAGTGCTGCCTCAGCCTCTACTGGGGATGCTATACATGAAATATGCACATATAACTGTTCTTAAAACCAGAAAAATTCTGAATTGTGAAAGACATCTGGCCCCAATTTCTTCAGGAAGGGACTGTGTTCCTGTGTTAGCAATAAAGAAGTTGAAATGAATTATTATGGAATTTAAGCTGGACAAGAAAAAAGGAGAAGGTGGGAAGGGTATTTCATTGGGAAAAGTAGAAGGGTCAAGGAAATAGATAATTTCAGAGAATCAAGGTTCTTCTGGGTGTGGTGATGCACACCTGTAATCCCAGTGGCTCAGGAGGCTGAGACAGGAGGATTGTAAATTCAAAGCTAGCCTCAGCAACTTAGGGAGGCCCTAAGCAACTTAGTGAGATCTGCTTTAAAATAAAAAATAAAAAGGCCTGGGGATGTGACTAGGTGGTTGAGCACCCCTGGGTTCAATCCCTAATACCAAAACAAAAACAAAACAAACAAACAAAAAACCTAAGTACTGGAGTTCCAGTGAGATAATTTGAAGAATAGGAAATCATAATGAGCAATTAGAATGTCACAAGTATTTTCAAAGGGAGTCAATTCTGGGTGGTTGCAGGGTATGACCATCACTGTGGGCAGCTGAGCTGTAATAGAAGAAAAGGTCATTAGAAATGAGGTCAAGAAAATGAAAGGCAAGAAAATTAGATTACCCAGAATAATGACAAGATATAGGGTAGATGGGAACACTATAAGCCAAGCTCTCTGATATCTAATGGGTGAGACACCATGAAAGGTACATGAGATCTATGAGGAGCAAAATAATGTCCTCACTTTGCCCCTGGAGCATGACCTCTTTAATGAATGGAAAAGAGGTCAATAATTATACAGCATGTTATGTATAATGGTAGAAGTGTGATCTCAAACTATTAAAGTCTAGATGAGGAAAGAGACTTTATATGTCTGGACATGTCCAAAGACTAGCCACTTAGATGTTTTGAAATTTTCCATGTTTTGTAAACATGAAATGCATAACCTATGGATATTCAGTAGAATATTTTATCAAAATAGTAGTTAAAACTGTCATATTTGCTAGGTAATTTACTAGAAGCAAAGCAAAAATAAGGTAGAATGTGCAGTATCTTCAAGAAATATTTTCTATATTTAGAAGTCTCAGACAAACTTAAGGTTTCAGGCAGAATGATTTTTTCTAGGAGATGTGTAATTTTCTGGTTTCTTCTCTGTTACCTTTTGTTTTCTAATTTTGTTTTACTTTTATTGACTACTCTTGTTATTCTATTTTAGACTATCTCAATCCCTTCTGGATTCAAGTGAGAGTATAAATAATAAGCAAATATATTCTGATCACTGATGCTGAAAAATAAGTTAACATGTTGTAAAGTTTTGTCACTCCACATTTGAAAAGATATACTTCATCTAATCTAAATATATTCTACTTCTTGTAGAGTAGTGTCAAATATCAACTGCTCTTTGGAGGTTACATTAGGTCCTCCAAAAAGAAGAAGTTCTCTAGTATCATAGGTTGGTTGATGAATGCTATTCTGGGGCTGAGGAGTCTTGGGGGTAAGCTTTGCTGACCACAGGAATGTTGAGCAGCAAATGCTGGCTTTGGCCAGAGAACCTTTGATGCATAGTGACCTCTTTGAAATGTTGGAACTGATGGTGCTTGTGGGAACCTGCATTACCAAATGTCCATCACAGATTGAACATACTATGTGAGAATAGAAATGTAGAATAATAGGGCAATGATACCCTATATATAAACCACCTCTGTTTACAGATTCCCTAAATAACAGATGAAAATAGATTTTACTATGGCAAATAGTTCAATTGCAGTGTTCTGCAAAAATTTTGTCTGTCTCATGTATTTTAAGCAAGATTTCTGGGCCATGTGGCTTTTCTAGTAGACTTCAATGACATGCAACCACCAAGCAGAGACCTTGTCATTTATTTAACTCAAACTGTCTTTAATTTTGAAGACTGTGAGAAACCTTAGGGTATGAGTATAATCACAGGATGTTATGCAGGATCAGATTTTCAAATTCTTTGCTTTTGTTTTCTGCTGCATGTACCAGAGCAGTCTCATGTTATCTGTGCATCTTTAAATTTGGATCTGTGGTTTCTTTTTTCTCTTTTCATCATCTTTCCTCCTTTCTCTTTTAGTTCACAGCCATGAATCAACCACAGTGCTTCTACAATGAGTCTATCGCCTTCTTCTATAACCGGAGTGGAAAGTATCTTGCCACAGAATGGAACACGGTCAGCAAGCTGGTGATGGGACTTGGGATCACAGTTTGTATCTTCATCATGTTGGCCAACCTACTGGTCATGGTGGCAATATACGTCAACCGTCGCTTCCATTTTCCTATTTATTACTTAATGGCCAATTTGGCTGCTGCAGACTTCTTTGCTGGGTTGGCCTACTTCTATCTAATGTTCAACACAGGCCCCAATACTCGGAGACTGACCGTTAGCACATGGCTCCTCCGTCAGGGCCTCATTGACACCAGCCTGACAGCATCTGTAGCCAACTTACTGGCTATTGCAATCGAGAGGCACATTACGGTTTTCCGAATGCAGCTCCATACAAGGATGAGCAATCGGCGGGTGGTGGTGGTCATTGTGGTCATCTGGACTATGGCCATTGTTATGGGTGCTATACCCAGTGTGGGCTGGAACTGCATCTGTGATATTGATAATTGTTCCAACATGGCACCCCTCTACAGTGACTCTTATTTAGTCTTCTGGGCCATTTTCAATTTGGTGACCTTTGTAGTAATGGTGGTTCTCTATGCTCACATCTTTGGCTACGTTCGCCAGAGGACTATGAGAATGTCTCGGCACAGTTCTGGACCCCGTCGGAATCGGGACACTATGATGAGTCTTCTGAAGACTGTGGTCATTGTGCTTGGTAAGTTTTGTCTTGACTATAGCTTCCTTTATGGATATTCAATGTCTTAATATAAACCACATTAGATTATAATAGCAGTAAATAACAATGTGAATATTCACCTGGTGCATGTGCAGGAATTATGAGGGGATGAGGTTAGCTCTATATCAAATGTCTGTGGCAAAATCAGCTTACCAGTATTTCTGCAGTTACAGAATTATCTAAAGTTCTGTGTCAGTGCTATAGGATAAATGATGATGATAGGGAAGATGTCACTGAAGAATTTGGTTACCTAGTATTGAAAGCACCACAATATGTAACCCATCAGATTCATTTAGCTTTTGAAGGATTTCTTAGAACCTAAATTATGGAACTTTGCCTCACAGTCTCTGTATTAAAAGATTTTCAGATAGAATGCTTTATGTAGTATGAATGGCTTTCATATATAGTTATTTTTATTAGTCTATTTTAACTAAGTTGTTATTTATATTCTATGATAATTATTACCTTATAGGCAAGTTTATCAAGGTTTCATATAGAGTTAATTAATGAACAAAGATTGGAATTAATGACATGTTGTGACAGTCACCCTCATGAACATTTTATGTTTTTAAAATTTATCTCTTTGTAGTAATGGATGTTAATTCATATATCTTGTTTGAAAGCCAATATTTTATTCTTTTTGTATACTCAAATAACTTTTTGCCTTTAAATTTAAAGTATTAGTTTTCCTAGATGAAAAAGTCATGGTGATTATCAGGGATGTATGTTTTCATACACTTACCTTCTCAGAAAAGAATTGAAGAATATCTAGTAAGTTCTAGGCTCTGGCCAGCCTGTGTTATTATTCCCACCTAAAGGACAGACACAAAACATTTTTTTTGCAGCTTTGAGTGCCCATTTTGAAAGTTAACTTAATGAGAATTTGTTTAAATTAAATTATATATTCTCCATGGACTATATTCAGATTAATGTTTGATCATATTTTTAAAATATTTTTTAAAAACTTGAAGGGGTTGGGGATGTATATATCTCAGTAGTAGAACACTGGCCTCGTATGCACGAGGCCCTGGGTTTGATCTCTATGACTGCGAAACAAGCACCTTTTAATTCATTTTTTTTCCCTACAGAAATTCAGTGAGTTTCTATAATCCCTTTTGCTCTTTAGAAAGCAGGGAATGTAACCTGGGATTTTAACCAAGGAAATGTAACTGGGGATTATGTGGTTCTTCTGAAATTCTGGGAGATAAAGCCCTAATTATCATTAAGTGAGTCAGCAATTTGGTTTGTGCGTTGACACATTCTGTTTTGGTTAGGGAAAATACATTACAGAGATCATCTCTGGCTGTATTGATTAGGACCTTTTGTAGACCTTTAAGAATGAGAACTAGGCCTTGGAATTGTTGGTATAACCAAAGCCGTGTCTAACCAACTGGGATACTTAGGCAGTCTGTCCACTGGGGACCATAACATCTCAGATGTCAGATTGTCTTATTCTGTCCAGTTTCCCTGTATGTTTAATTATCAATAAGATTTTGAGCATCCCTGTGCCACAGAGCTTATTTTCCATGATACAAATGAAAAACACCTTAGTTACCACAGATATTATTTTTGTATGAAGTTAGGTAACATGAGACATTTTACTTCTGTATTAACTCTAATGTTTACTTGCTAATGGTCTAAATGTTTGATGGACACTTTTCATATGCATGTGCTTTTTATGACATCAATTGCTGCTTCTAGTATATAGAACCACCAGCGGTAAATGACTGCTGAATTTGGACTATGAACCTGCCAAGTTCTTGTTTTAATTTTGACCTTTGAGTAATGTCTGGCATAGTTTGTTTTGCAATATAATTAATGATTCATGTAAACTTAACTTTTGTGCCTCATTGGGTTGTTTTGCAAGTTGAGATAATTATTTTGAGTGCACTGTAGTGCACTGTACTTTCAGTGTACTTCTGCCCTAATCACACTTTCTACACCTGCCACCACTGCACAAACCCAAACCTGAAAATGGCAGAAATAATATTGCCCTCTGAGATATTAAACTTTGTAATAGACTCTAGAATGCAGTTAACCTCTTCTGGAATTAAGAACCTTATTTCTACAGCTGTGAAAAAGAAGAAGTTTTAGTGGAAAACTCCACGTGAGGTGAAGAAATTTGATAGGGCAAGGTGGGAATGTGATTGTAATATAGGAAGCAGCCATTCAATAAACTGAGAAAAACAGTGAGAATGGGAGAATGGGCAGGATGTGGATGGGAGTGGTCGGAAAACTTAGAATAGGGATTCCCCAATCCTAAGCAGCCGGCTGTTTGTCAAGGTGATGCCTAAGGCCATTCCATTCACTTAGTGTAGTACTCCTTGCTTGGGTTGTGTCCCTCCCCATTGTTATATGGTGAAGACAGGCTTGTAGATACAAGAGTTCTGTTCTACGCAAAGCTCAGCTCAGTGTAAACTTGTCTATTTACAATCTTGCTTGTCCCCCTCACACCCACACACCACCACCACTTTGGCTTGAGATTTCTAATGTCTAATATCTTCTCTGCTGGATTGTCAGCTTTGTCAAGGCTGACAGGGATTGTAATGCTTTGTTGTCTGTGTTCTCACATTGCTGGCATAAATAGGTGATCAGTACATAATTGTTGAATGAATCGATGTGGTGTTAGAATCAAGTTTCTGAGTCTTCAGAACTGAAGACCAGAGAGAGCCATGGTGAATTCACTTTGGTAAATGCCACTTTATTCAACTGTACGGGAGCCAGACCTGACTAGACCTTTATTACCTGTGCCTTCTATTCAAAACTCAACAGCTTGGAGAATGGCTACAGTGCATGCTCAGTAAACAATACATTTGTTTCACTTTCATTTATTCTGGGATTGATTATGGTTTGATTAACCATGCGGAAAGCCTTCAGTTTCCACTATTACTATGTCAGAATGACCTTTAAGACCTCTTCAGTATTCATGATCAAGAGAAGGGTTTGTTGGGCAACAACTGAATTCCTAGGAGTCAACTTAAAAATAAAAGCATCTTTGAGATTTATACTTATAATACCAGTTGGTAAGCATGAGGATAAGTTGCTTTTGAATGAATACTGAATCTTAATAATTTTGTCAAGTAGTTAAGTAGCATTATCATGTGCCCAGTACAATTCTACATTACAAATTAGTAATTGTAACTAAAACCCCTATGGAGTGTAGGTACCATTGTTGATTTGTCATCCTTATTTTCCAGGTGGTAAAAATTGAGGTACAGAGAGGCTAGGTAACTTGCCCAAGGCCACACTGCTAGTAGGTATAGGAAATGGGATTCAAAATCAGGCACTTGGGGTCCAGAACCTATGTGTTTTCACTTCCATGCTATCTTGGTTCTCTAGAATAAAAACAACCACCGAATGCTGCATTTTGTAATAAAGTTTGAACAGCAGTATGCCATTATGTTGAAACATGGTGATCCCATTAGTTTCCATCAATACCGCCTGGCCCTGCATGCTGTTTCCACAAGCTGAGAAAGCTTTAAGGAACATTCCTTTCTCTTCTTTCACCGCTGATGACGCTCAGGGCTCTCATTTCATTTGCCTTTTTCTATTGTCCAGTGTTGTAGCACCAGTAACTGACAGCTTCTCACTGGGGGAGCGTTCTGGAAAGGTGTAGTTCACTTGAGGTTCATCATCCAGTGTGAGGTCATGGCGCCCCTCCCCAGGCTTGACTTCTTTCCCTACTTGACATTTTACCAAGAATTCCTTTTGAGTCTGTTCCACAGTTGAAACAGTGGCAGTCAAGCTGTTCTTCCTTATTTGACCACAGGCTGTCTTGAGTTTTAAGTCCTTTCCTTTCTGACTCTTTTCTTTATGGTGATACTTCTATTGGGGAACATTAGAAAAGAGGAAAACTAGAATTTGGCAAGAGAAAATAGAGTGAAGAGGATTTTGCTTTTAAGCCACAGCAGGTACACAAAGTAAAATAAATGCAGGTGGGGCTTCTCTCTTTGTGGAAGAAGAGGGAGACATTCGTTTTCTGGTCTGATCTGTTTGGGCTGGAACTGACCACCTCTGAAGCTAAATTACCCTTTATTACCTGGTACCCTGTGCCAGTCAGTACTCAGCCTGGTTCTTCATGTGTTGTTTGTATCTTGCACCAAGGAAAGTTGCATTTTTCCCCTTCTATATTGAAACTCCCAGGTTAAGAGAGGGTAAGTAATTTGTCCAAGATCATTCTGTTTGTAAGTGACAGAACTGGAATGGTGTAGACCATGACCTTCAGCCACAGGATTTTGACTCTTTGGTACTTCTATTTCCAGTTTATTTCAACAAATATGATGTTGCAAGCTAATTATGTGCTAAGGGGTAAAAAGATGGATAAGTAAAATTCTTTGCAAAGCTTCTGTTGTAGTAGAGGAGACTAAGAAAGTACTGCAAAGGAGTTGGGTCCGGGTGCTTACAGAGGCAATATTACATATTCTTGATGGGATGTGGAGGAGCTTGTCATTTTATAGTRTGGGGTTGGAGGAGAAGGTAGGCAACAGCATGAGCAATGATTTTTACCTCTGAGGAAGTGAAAGAAGTCAAGTGTTAAGTCAGGGTATGCTGGATGGGGTTTTGACTAGAAGTCTTCATAGCACACTAAAAAATATAGGCTTCAGCCTATAGGTGACAGAGCTGATGAAGATTCCTCAAGATGAACCAAAACCAAATTCTTTACAGGTGGAGAGGTTATGTGATGAATCATCAAACTGAGACACTTTTGATAGTGAAAATAGACACTAACTGTTGGGAATGCTGGTAAAACAGACATAAACCAAGACTGTTCTGAGCAACCCTCCTTCTAGGCTTTGCTTTCTGTTTAGTTGTTTGTGTATATTCTTTCTGATACTTTTGGTTTTTCAAACTCAGAGCTCAACACCGAGCTTCTTCAACTTTGTAAAAGTGATAAAGAAGAACTTTTGATAAGGCAAGTGATTTAGAATTTCATTCTGTCTACCTCCTTCATCATACAGATGAAGAAACTGAATCTCCCA